CCCTAGGTGCTCAGCCGTGTGAATGGAGCGCGCCGGGCCAAGGGAGCGCTAACTCCGCTAGGGGAAAGGCGGCTTGTGATTGCTTGCTCCCTGTACGTAGCTCCAGCCTGCTCAGGGCTGCCAGGTTCTCCAAAAGGCACAGGCGCCACCCAAAGAAGGACTGATTGGAAAGGTTGTCTAGCTAGAAATTCTTTGGAGTATTGGCAGTCAGTAACCCCTAAATCTAGAGTCAGGGCCATGTACATCTACGGGTCCTGATTCTTGTGTTTAGCAGAGGGGATAGGGGTGGGACTACAGAATCAGAATGTTCCTTTACTCTGGCCTAGGGTTTAAAAATAGAACGAATATATCCTGACTCTCTTCTGCTTCCTTGCCCTCCTTTTTACCTCTCCTGTTATCCTTGAAAACGAAAAGGTCTGAGAAGGAACATCCTCAGTCCTTGCTCAGAAAAGATAAGTTTAAATACATCCTTCAAGATTCTGGAAAAAAAAGATAAGTTTAAATACATCCTTCAAGATTCTTTTGTAAAACCATTTTTATTTCCTTTTGGTAGGGGAGAAATGAAATTTGCATTCTGTGTATGATTTTCCCTTGACTTTTGCGGAGCCAGAGAGTTTCTCCTTCTGGCCAAACCAGTGTTCTAGGGATGAGTGCCTTGGATTGTTAAGATCGTTTTTTGGTGCCTTTTCAGTATACCCATTTACAGATTGTTCAGCCCAACTTTTAGTTTTGAGAATCAGGAATAACGAGAAGGCAGAGTGTGGAATCATCTTTGACTTTATTTTTTCTCTTTGTGATGGAATTTTTAATAGGTGATACCTTTTAGCTAGGAAAGATTGTATTGGCAGAGTAGGAACCTAGCTGTGAGAATTGTACCCAGGCCTCTTTAAAGCAGACTTATATAAGTCAGGTGCCTGAGGTGTCATTTTGTGAGCCTGTTGTTTCTAAAAATGAAGGAGACAATGGAACCACAGGGCAGCAGGTGCTAATCTTTTGGGGTGAAGTAAACTGTGTGGTGTGATGAGGCTCCTCGGATGCTGGAGTCTGACCTGAAACATGCGAACAGACTTTCCTTGTCAGTGATCAGGGCCATCCTTGGTTCAGGAAATACTCGATCCCTGGTTTGGGGGTTAGTTAGGAGCCCATTTATAGGTTGGGCCCACAAATTTTGATTGAATATCAGGCCTGTTTTAATTGGGCCTCTGCTTTATTCAGTGAATATTTGCTGTGCCTGCCGTGTGCTGGGGACTGAGAATGAAGTTGTGGATATTCTGCTGCCATGTGGCTACAGAGACTTAGTCCATGCCAGTCATTGCTTCACCTATGAATTATCTCATGTGCTGTTATTCATTTTACAAATGACAAAACAGGCATGGGGGGATTACTAACCTATAATCATACAGCTCTAGTAGTGGGGCTTGGTTTTAAACCCCCATGTCTGAGCCGGCGATGGGGTACCTGCTGATGCAGAGCTGTTAATCCTGCCCCATCCCAGTTTCCCAGAGTGGACCCCCTGGACCAAGCCTGCTGGAATTTGTACTTCCATGTTATATCTCGGCCTTGAATCTGAAGAGGGTGCATGTGTGTGACTGGCAATTTACTTGCCTGTGACTGTTTTTGAGGGGTGGGGTGAGTAGGAATTCTTTGCATAGGAGGAAACGATTCAGTGATAGGGTTCAAGAGTTACTGAAGTTGTCTAATGGAATGGATCAGCCTTATAACTTGGGGGAAAGACTATGTGGAACTAGGTTTCTAATCTCTGTATATCCAGCTCTACTACTAATTATACTCTATTAATATTAACTACTCCTTGAATAGGTCATGTGACCTTTTAAAATAAAGAGGACAAAGTCGGTCAAGTACTATGACCCAGACTTCAGGCATTCCATTATCATTAGGTGCATGCTACATTCTATACTACTATATCACTATGTGCATATTGTTTTTCTTCAGATGACACTTATCACTACTGTAAATGTAAAGCCAGTGTTTTCAAAAATAAATACATAATTATATAAGTAACACTGGTTTATATGATTCATAGTCTCTTCTAACTCCAGAACTTTATGGCTTTATTTTATAATTAGTATTTACAGATCTTTGGGTTTAGGTTTCATTTGTGTGTTAATCTGAGGCAATAAAACTGGCCTTCAGGGATTACTAAAGTTCAGCTATGCATCGTTATTGCTACTTCCATTTTATGAGTGAGGAAACGGGATCAGAGAGGTCAGTAACCTGTCCAAGACAACACAGCAGTTAAGTGTATTTAGAATCCAAGTGGTCTGATTCCAAAGCCTGTGCACTTAATCCTGAAGCAAAACTGTCGTCTAGGTCAGTTGTCTCTTGAATCCCTTGAAAATCTGATAAGCACCATGGACTCCATAAAAATGAAGCCCTTGAAGTCTTTCCTTGGAGTCTAAACCTCTGGTCTGGACACATAGAAGATAAGCAATAAAATAATTTGGGATCTACATTTTCAAAATTTTGGTTTTATAGATAGTTCTCATTTGATGTGAAGTAGTGCCTTTGAGACTCTCAGTCACTTTTTCTCTGTGCCGATTTGTCCAGGCATTTTCTGTGGGCACTTATTTGCCTATGACCCTTTCTTTGACCTGATTAATCAATGTCTCATTGAAGAGAATTCTGTATGTTTACGTCTCTTTTTCTTTTTGTAGAGACAGTAGAGGGTGGAGATGAAGTTCAGACTTATAGAATTAAGAGTTTTAGGATTTTCCTGGATTTGAATCTTGATGACATCACATACTGGTTGACTCTGGGCAAGTCACTAAGCCTGAGGTCCTCCTGTGTAATATAGGAATAGCCACATTGACTTCATAGGGTGGTTGTGAGGACTAAATTAAACAGTGGTATAAAGAAAGTACTTCAGCTTTGAGCCTGGTACATAGTGCTGCTCAATTAATGGTAGTTGTTACCATCTTTCAGCATTCATGGTTGTCAAGATTTGGAGCAAAAGTCACTTAAAAGCAGAAGGACATTTTGGGTTTGGACATCAGGACTTAGGCCTTACCACCTCTTAGGTTGGTGGTAACTTACACAGTTGTGTATATATTAACAATTGGTGGGAAAAATCCTGGTAACCTGTTTGTATAAAGTTATGCTATGCCAAAAAAAAAAAAAAAAAAGCACCACTGGTTAAAAAGAAAGTCTCCTAACATCTTTGCTGTTCCTAATAACCTTCTGGAAACTTAAATTTTCCATCTTCTTGCTAGATTGCTCCCTGTCTCAGTGGCTGGGCTGGCTGCCTCTCTCTACCTTGTAGGAAAAGCTTGCACAATGCATTGGACTTCATGTCTGGCTGTCTCATGGACTCAGTGGTAAAATAAATGTGATTTCATGGAAGTGGAAGTGAATTAGGCCATTGGTTTTGAGGAGTGGTGAGGGTTTTCAGGATCTTTTTTTTCTATCTTGATACTTGGTTTGTGGACTTGTTGTCTGAGATATGCCCCTTTAAATTTGACTTCTGATTTCTGAGACAGAGTGAGGATCTTTTTTTCTGATAGTCTAAGGTGGGAGAGGTGGGACAGAATGCAGATTTTAAAATATCAACTTTATTGAGATATAAATCATCTTACCGTACAGTTCCCCCATTGAAAGCATCTAATTCATTGGTTTTTAGTGCATTCACAGTATTGTACAACCATCACCACAATCAATCTTAGAACATTTTCATCACCCCTAAAAGAAACCCCATTCCCATTAGCAGTCATTCCACATTTTCTCCCAATTACCTCCCCACCCTCTGGCCCAAAGCCCTAATCAACCACTCATATATTTTCTGTCTTTCTAGATTTGCCTGTTCTGGACATCGGATATGCAATTTAACTAGTTTTCTCCTAGATGGTGGGGATCAACTTTAGGCACAGAGTTCTTGATTGGAATTCCATAAGTTGTTCTCCTTCATGAGGTCCCAAAGACTGAACTGTGTCGCAGAGCCCAGAAAAACCCAGATGTGTGCCTTTGTGTTTCCAAGCCACAAGGGAGGAATGGTTTCATTCTAGTTCGTGGTACTTTGATGGATGCAGAGGAGATTACCAAAACAAGACTAAGAGGTCTGCCCCTTCTCTCACTATATGCTTTTAGTCAAGTTGGGGTAGGGTGTGTGGTACTGAATCAAGCCTTACTCTACGGTAGGTGTTCTTCTGGGTGACACTTTTTTTCGGAGAATACACACCTTGTTCATTTCATTCTTGACAGTTAATAATTCTGAGGTCTCTGACCTGTGTCACATCCCCAAGGCAACCATAGTGAATTTTAACAGAAAGAGGTGGTCTAATAAGAATGCCAACAGCTCTTGTTTATTGAGCACTTACCAAGTGCCCAGCTCTATGCTAAGTGTGTCATTAGCCTTACCACCATCCTGAGATGGATACTCCTACTTTTCTTCATTTTATAGTTGGGGTAACTTGTTTAAATTCACACAGCTAAACAAGTTGTGCAACCAAGTTTTGAACTTGGCAGTGGACTGCAAGGCCTTCTCTTGAACATTACCCTTCAGTAAACATGATGGCAGTAAAGATGCAAATTATTCGTGGATCTAGACCTTAGAAAGGAGGAAGATGTTAGCAGGTGCTAGATTGAGAATATTGTCCTATTCC